AGTGGTAGTGGTAGTGGTGGTAGAAGAAGTAGAAGGAGGTTGTGCGGCAATGCCTATCCCCATAGAGCAATAAGACTGCAGCAGAGCCGCTCGATCCCCAAGCTTGTTGGAGCTCAGGTCTAGTTTACGCAGGCGGCCCATCAGCGAAATAGCCTCGCACAACACGTTTGCTTATGAGACATCACTCCCAGCAGAAAACGTCAAGCGGGCCTCCGTTTCAAAGCAATAGAGGAAACCATGCCAAGCCGAATCAAAATGCCTAGATCGTTTCCAAACATCCGACAAAAGTGGAACTGAGGCTAGCATTACACATCAGCCCTTGCAGTGGAGCAGGATCCGACAAATGCCGGATCAGCAACACAACTGCAAATTCAACTTGGATCGCTTTCGTCTGTCCGAAACATGGATGTTGGAGGACCCGTACATGGAGAGGCTTCTACATTCGTTTGGTGAATGCGAATGAACCCATCACCGTGGGAAACTTAGCTGTGCCCGAAGAGGCTAGAATCTGCTAGAAGTGACATACTGTCAATCCGTACGATGTCAACTGATGCAAATGTTTGAACGAGCTACGAAAAGACTTGCATCGGGGTGGGCTCATCTCGTCCTCAGGTCTCAGCTGTCCAAAGGATGTCCCAAAGCCTCTGACGGCCCACTGACAACAATGTACAACAATCACAGCATGAAGAGGAAACCTCTGCATGAGCAAAACCTATCGCTCATGGCTTCTTTCCCCCTTAACTTTAGCACTTTAGCACATATGCAGCGCTGACCATCCACGCCTTGCATAGCTGCACACCACCATCATCCGAAATCCGGTTGCCACCTCTTCGGACACATCGAGAATTCGACAGGCCAGTCCTTTCTGACATAGCAAACAACGAAATGGAAACACCGAGGCCGACGCCTAAATCAAGAGTGTGCAGCTTGTGGCCTGCAAAACCTGAGTAAATGTTCACACGGCCCACGTCTCCCGAGCTTGGCCCTGGGTGCCAACCCTCGAGCGCGGAAGCCAACTGTTCTGCCCCTTCATCCCCGACCTGCAACAAACGAACAGGATCCCGAGAAAGGACTGTTTTCTGAAAAGAGTGTCTTCCGTCTCATGCATGTTGCAAGCTGTGCGTTCTACCACTGCCGTAGCTGGAGAAGCCTGACTCAAGAGCATTTTTGAGCACGTGGCGGTCCGTCGTGTCAGGGTGCTGTCTGCACTCTTAAAGTCAGAACCGTAACAGGCATGCGTACCTGAGTCTTAGTCACGGCGACCCGGCCCTGCACGAAGCTTGGCTCTGGCACAATATTCGTGGCAGCATGAGTTTTCCATCTGCTTTGCGTAGACAGCGGCTACATGGCTCGTTTTGAATTTTTGAATCCGCAGCAATGCTCAGTTACACATTAAGTGTGAATTGGGCGGCGCTGCGTCTGTCTGTACTATCCGACGCTCAGGAAAACGGCAGGGCCTTGGTTCATCGTCCAAGGCGAAACACAAACGACGAGTGCACGGAGAACAGATTGATAGGGAACCGGCCTAGCTTGCCTGGTTTGGAACTACGTTTCCATCCTCATCGAGCTCTTGCTCCTCCTGGCAGCTCGCAACTGGCCGCATAAGTCATGAGGGAATCGAGGCGGTCCTCCTCATCGTTTGCTTCGTCCTCCTCATCATCATCTTGGAAGGTGTCCCATGGAACCTGCAGCATGTTCTCGGAGTCGACACCCTTTCCCATCATTGGGAAGCTGATTCACATGCAAGCCTCGTGGATGCGGAGAACAGACTTCGTGGGATCCTGCATAAAGCCTACTGGGGAATGGGGTGGCAGGTAGGTGCCATCGTCCGGCCAACCCCAGTTGCCAGGTGTTGACAGGATAAGCCACAAAGAATTGCCTATCCAACTTGTCCGTTACGACAGCATCCAAGCTCGTGAATCTAGACTCTCAAGACGGGATGAGGACAAGCACTCACATGCTACCCCGCCCCTCTTGTGAGCGCTGAAAGCTGCTTGATAACACGACAGCTCTGCAAGCTTGCAACGGTTGATGCTAACACAAACACCAACCACACTAAGTGACAAATGCCACAGATGTAAAGCAAGAGCATGTCGCCACACAATCCTTCAGCAACAAGTATTTGCCGTCTTCCCAACCTCAGAAGACATGCAAAGCCAAGGGAAGACTCATGCACGCTGCAGTTACTCCAAGCGGCTCATGACCAGGTCAATGATGTTCCGAATGATGCCAAACCTTCAACTTCAGATCTCTCCAACATAGGATTAGCTCAACGCCTGCATAGACGAAGCACGCCGACAGCTGGAGATGGACTGTTCTCCACTGTGTGCGGGAGACCCCAGCCGCCGGACGCAACTCCCCCGTATCGATCGGGTACTACTGACTTCCCGTGTCAGACATTTGCCTCCAGTCGCTGTGCAGTGCGGCATATCTCTAATTCTGCTGAGCAGCATGTTGTTTCGTGTCAAGCCGATTTGCTCTGCAAATCCGCTGGTGGCATAGGTCTGCACTCCAAGCAGCGAGTGTGACCATGGGTCCTTCGGATGCTGACGAGACCTGAAGTTTAGTCAGGTTCTATCGAAAGATCTGTCATGAACTTGCGGGCCATACGTTGTCATGGACTGGGCTTCAGGCACATATCCTATCTTGATTGTCTCACATCCTGCCAAGATTGCCTGTGCAGATGTGGACATGAACGACAACATGATGATGTGGTGACTGGTGTGCCGACTGTTTCACCCCTGCCTGTGCTGTCCAACGCCCCAGCTTGAAGGCGTTGTTCTTCAGCTCAGTTGCAAGGCATGCTCCTGCAAGATACTTCGCAGTGCTCAAAAGTGTGGGCAAACTCACGTCAGTCCTCGCGTAGACTCCTGAGCAAGTTGTGACAAATCCGTCCACGCGACTTAACGAAGCCCCCTTAGATGCTGAGCCACGAGGTGAGCTCGCCAATTGTAATTCGGCTTCGGCTCGTACTCGTGCATGGCCTCCAGCGTGCTGTGGTCTCTACGAACAGGTTGGATAGGGCAGAGTAGCAGAGGCTTTGCCTTGACAGAGACCAGTTCGTTGCTGCTCGGCAGCTTGCAATTCACCTCTGTACCTTCCGTAGTTTCAGCTCTGCTCGTGCACCGAAGCCTAATCAAGTGAACTGGAAGTGCAGTCCACCAACTGCACTTCTAAGGTCAGCACGCACAACCAGTTTGACTGGATTCTGCTCAAAGTCGTTAGTGGCCTGTCTCGGCAAGGCTTCGTGCGAAAGCGATTTGAAACACCACAGTGATGCGCCTTGGGATTGCCGGGTAAAGTGACTTTGCGATATCTGTATGCCCCGGAGGCAACGCACCCGGCGTTGTCCTTCGCGGAAGATATAGCAGGATAGCGTTGGATGTTTGCAACTTGGTTCAGTGGTCGTACAAGGAGGTGGCGCGAAGATCTGCCCTTCAAGCAGCCTTCCAGCTTACTGCCGTTTTTGCTCTGAAGGCTAAGGGGACACCCGAGGAACGGCACTGCCCGACACATGCATCACCTCTGGCACGTTCCAGCACAGCCTGCCAGCCTATGACGATCTATGGCTAGATATGGCTATCATGCTGGCCCTTCGGCAAGTCCTCGTCCTCGAATGGATTGGGATTACCCATATCTTCAACCGGCTCCTCAGCGATGCATTGATTGAACTCTGCCAACGTCAGCAGCTAAAGCTTTCAGTCACGGCTGTCAATGCAGCATTGCGTCGTCAGGATCCAGAACCATCTGGGAGAAATTCTGATTGATGCAGGATGCTTCCTGGCAGTCTGCATCTCAGTCGAGTTTACGAAGCGCCGGGACGAGGTGGATGATGGTGGATGTTTTGCATGCAGCATGCAATGGGTAGCTCAAGCGCACGGCACGCTCTAGCCTGGCCGAGCTTCACGGGACCGTTGATGCTCTCCTCACCGGCCAGATGAGATTGCTTCTATAACCGCTTGAAGCGTCCCTGCTAGCACCAGCTCACATCTAGAATCTAGCCTCGAGGAGCGCTGCAACTGTTACAAGTGACACAGCATGGGTGCCAGACTGACCCTGATTGGAAGCTGGATGTGCTCTCCTTGTCGTCTGCATTAGGAGGGTCTTGGGCCGTCTCATTGACCTTAGAGATGGTGCCATCGGGCCAGGAGAGCCAAGACATCTCTGGGACAGTAAAGAAAACGAGTTCGAGCAAGAGAGACAGCAGACACCAACAGCTCAAGTCTCAACGCAAGCACACAACTTTAGCGCCATGGCATGGACGCTGCAGATCAAAATCATGACACTTCCTTGACGGCCGTCTGCGCCTGAAGATTGCGACAAAATCCTGGCGCCTTCATGCAGCCAGACCAATTGAAACCCGGAACCCATTGTGATGGAACTGAAGTAAGCCCGAAGACAAAGTCTCAGGAACAGGACGTCGAATTAGCCAGAGGTTGGACACCGGCAGTGGACGAATGTTCAAGAAGCTCGCTGGGATGCTGAACATTTGATAACTATGACCAACTACTTGCAAAGACTGCAAAGTACTGCAAAGCTGTGGGAGAAGCTTTCACACAGCTTGCACGCGTCAGAAGATTTCGGGCTGCTAAGTCTAGCAGTGACATCACTGGGGAGTTGTCTACTGCTCCAGAAAGTTACTCACTAGTGTTGTTTGTGTTAATGTGATGCATCGGATCCTGGACTTGAAGAAAACAACAATCCTCAAGTGCCAGCGCCGGTTTTTGAGCTGCATTGTGGCCGCAGCAATGATCTGCGAGACTTGCGTTTTTCACGAGCCCGGATGGGCACAAACGACAAGTACCCACACGCAGCAATCGTAAACACAATGCAAGCCCAGCGGATGAAGCACAAACCATTTCCCCGCACCATTTCCCCTCACTCCGCCGCCCGCTTCGAATGTGGCGGGGCAGAACTGGAGACTGCACCCCACTCTGAAGTGGTGGTTGCTTCTGATTGTCTCGTCCTCGCATGCTTCCATGGATGAGGGCTTGGGACAATAATCAGCCTGCTGTTGCTCTTAGTTGGTGCCAGTCGTCAGAGCGATAAATGGATGCATCGCTTTGCAGCAACAGCAGCACGGAGTTTCAGCACGATCCAGTTGATCTTTCTGCTATGGATTGAACAATCATCTGCGTTGTCAACTGTAGTTGTCGGGTCTTGAGATGCAGAAGTGTCGCAGCGGGTTCAGAAAGCCGGACGGGACCCGTCTGTGTCTTCGCTATGCCTCAAACTCATGGACGGAGCAGGGTGTGCAAGTGCAAGCGTACCACTACTCTGACCACCAGTACCAGTACTACTACTACTACTACTACTACTACTACTGCTACTACTACTACTGCTACTGCTACTACTACTACTACTACTACTACTACTAGTACTAGTACTAGTACTACTTCTAGTACTAGCACTAGTACTACTACAACAACAACTACTCCTACTGCTACTGCTACTGCTACTGCTACTGCTACTGCTACTGCTACTGCTACTGCTACTACTGCTACTACTACTACTACTACTACTACTATTACTGCTACTACGCCTCCTCCTGCTCCTGCTCCTGCTACTGATGAGCCAGGTCCATGACATGCTTGTTGTTGCGGCTGTCTAACCGTGCGCGCCGTCCATGGTTTCACCGCTCAAACTCTCACACACAGGCACGCAACACTTCTTTAGGCTGCAAGCTAGTTTCACTCCAGCCCCTCTTGCCTAGAGCCTCGGCATGCCTCGGCTGACGGCACGGATCTGCGTACGTCTTTTGCGGGTTTACAACAGCTGCTTGCGGATTTCGTCCTGCAGACCCCTGACTCGGCCCAATGTCAATGTCAAGAACCAACATGCTCCATATTATATGTTCCTGCAAGCTTTAACATACATACGTCGGAAAGATCAGACAATATCATGCGCCACTTGTGAAATATTACATGCGGGCCCCGTACTTGCTGCGCAACGTCACGTGCAACCGTACACGCGATGAAGTTTACTACTCCTACTGCTCCTCCGCTCCTCGTCATCCTCCTGCCTAGGCTCCTCCTACGACGACGACAACTACTGCTACTCAGAATAATAAGAAATAGTCATACGAGTACTGATATGTCCAGTCATCATGCCCATCACCATGGCCATGATAATGACCGCTATCATGGTCATAATCATCACAACTATAATATCACCGTAATTACTGCAACACTAACACTTGGACTCGTCATTATGATTTTTGCAGCAATGTAGTGATACTGCAATCATCACTATCATCATCATGGATAGTAGTACGAACAATGATATTGTTACTATCAGTATTATCACAATTACTCTTCCATACTCTTCTTCAAGACCCCTGCCGCTGATGCTGTAATAAATAATGCGAATTCTACGATGACGACTATTGCTGCTCAACGTGTCGACAACACATGACATCTTGAGTAGTAGTAGTAGTAGTAGTAGTAGTAGTAGTTGTTGTAGTAGTAGTAGTAGTAGTAGTAGTGGTAGTAGTAGTAGTAGTAGTAGTAGTAGTAGGTAGGAGGAAGAATGCAACGGAGCACGACAGGAGTGCGAGCAAGTAGGCGTTCGGAGGACCTGCATTCGCGCGCCAATGAACAAACGGCAGTGGAGTAACATATTGGAAGTGGAAGAGAAAGCGAAGTTAGAGCTCAGGTTGCAGGAATGGAAGGGACAGTTGTGATATTCCCTTCCAGTCCTTCGGATGCCCGCCTTCATAAACCAAATCATTTGACATGGTCGCAATCCATCAGGTCTGGGCACCGAGCCGTCAAGAAATCTATCTGAGAACCATCTCGCTTGTCAAATATGAGCTTGTTGGCTACCTCTGACGTGTAGTCAAAAGGAGGCAATCCAGCGAGCAAGTATCTCGAGTGCCAAGCCTTTGACACCACGATGTCCCAGGAGTACACAGACCTTCGCACCACTGGACACCATGTTCGTCCGTACTGCTTCAATTCTGCCTTTGAGCTCCGTGCCTGGCTGCGGCGACGAGGCAGGCCAGCACATGATCAGTTGCCTTGAGATTCCCGCCAGAGCGCAGATTGCAAATGCCGGCAACTAGAAGAGGCGAGGGTCGATCACGGTAACGGAATCATCAGACTGAAGCAGGTCCTGCGGAGATTCAGTCATGCCCGCGCGAACTGTGGCTGCTGGAATCAACTGCGCATCGACCAATGTCCGGTAGGATTGGGTCATCCGATGTCGTGACATTGAAGAAGTTCAGATCCTGAACAGCTGTCGATCAAAACTTCTCCGAGAGAGCGCAAACCGCATGCTGGCGCCTCAAATCGCTTCATAGGTCGCTCTGTTTTGGCCGTCACACGGTCGAACGTCTGCCATAGCAAAAGGAGAGGACAGAATCAGCAAAGCTCACGTACAACGTGTTCCATCATGTTTCTTGTTCCCTCTTAGACTCCAGGCTATCGAAGCAGATTGGCGGAAGGGGCATGGGCATATGCGCGGAAAGAGAGTGACCGTAACCCAGCTCAGAGATTGTGCCGTTCTGACGATCGTCTCATTTTGCCCCTCTGTAAGTGGATGCCTGGGCCCCGAAAAACTGTAGGCTGCCCGCCTACATGCTGCAGTTTAAACATCTCGTACACCCTGACTCCGTGCCCAGGTCTAGCACTCTTACCTCACTGTACATCCACATAGCACATGCCCATATTATATGTGACGCGGATGCCAAATTTGTAGTCCCAGAACTGTGCTGAACCTCAATGGTCCCAACCCCAACGGATTCGTTAACCGTGAGCTGACAGTCCCTGCAAAACTCGACAGAAAGCAAATCACCCAGAACCAGTGTTGTGTGCATGACGCGATTAGATCATGACAATCAATCTTGCAGTCTTGTAACTCAAGCCAGCACTGGCTGGAAGTGCCTTGCAGTAAGTCGGAAGGTTTCCGGCCCAATGCACGTCTTCAAACTCCACCAACTGCACAGCCAGTCGAGGGTGAAAGCTGTCATTGGAACGCACAAAGGAGATCTTCGCGATTGCATGAGACCGATATGCCTTGGCGTCAATCTGCAGTTTGGCCTCCGATAACACACACACACACAGACAGTCTCTGGCGTCTCTGGTGGCTTTTGCCTGAGCATGCCTCTGATCCAACCGCAGCCGAGGAGCTAGTGACGTGAGCATGATCTCTCTCATGAGCGACCACTCTGGTCTGGTTTGCACAGACCATTCCTGAAGTAAGGGCCCCAATGCACCATGGAAGAGTAGCCAAGTCATGCCACTGCGCTCCTTGAAGGAAGGCATGCCCCTGCGCGTAGCAGTGGTCTTCTTGCCTTTCCCCTTCGCTTGATTTTGATTTGCCTGCATTTGCCAGTGATTTCGCCATAGCAAGACCCTTTCTTGCAGACGTTGCTTTGGCAGTCCTGGTAGTACGGCTTCTGCTTCTGACCCAGGATACCTTCCTGGTAATTGGAAGCGATGCCTTTGCCTAGGTGACATGCCAGGCAGCATCCATTCGCATGATAATGCATGACTCTCAGCAATGCAATCACAGCTATAAGAGGCTGGCTTTTCCCTTTACCCTTCATTCCTGTATCAACAGATCCGCCTCTCTTCACTGCGAATCATGTCGTGCTCACGAGCACGCCTGAGGAACGCCCTCTGCCGCTTGATTTGCCCGGGACGGGCCGGCTGTCAACTAGGGAGAAGCCTTCCTCGTCCTTGCCTCGAGTCAAACTGGTCAAGCCCCGCATGTCACCGTCATCTGCGGACCTGGCCTGGCTGCAAAGCTTGGACTGGGCCTTTGCCCTGGAGCTCGCACGGTGTTGAAGCGCATGCGACAAACGTACAAGCTCCGTCGCCTTGCCAATTCCTTTTGCACCCTTGCCTTTGTTTCTTTCCGCCTCCCACCGGGCTGAGGCTTGAAGGCTGCAGCCGACAGTCTCCGTCGCTACGGTGCACCTGGTAGCGTTGCCCGGATGCAGTGAAGTCGCAAACTCGGCCGATGCGCGTCACCGGAAATTTCTCCAGGTGATCCACCTGGTCTCGACTGTACTCGACTGGACTTTCGTTTTTGGTATGCCTGGGCCCGTAACAAAATCACCAATGCCCAAAGGGGTCTCGAGTTCGCCCTGAGGTGGTGGGCCCCAGCCATCGATGTAGCTGCTGACCTTGTTGCACTATGCAGGGATCGCATCATGGAAATCTCAGCCGTCCGTGCCTGTGGCAAAACAAAATCCACCATAGTGTCGGCGGTGACCTTAATGTAAACGGCTATCGAGTAAGCTGCATGGATGCACCTGGAAGGTATCAACGTCGTTTTGGTACGTGGCGTGATGTTCTTGCCTGTCTGGCAGGGCCGTGTGAGCCGGTCTGGTCCCCCCGGATTCGATCGAGTGAGGGACAGGATGTGATTCACAGCTGGTACGCACGATCCAGAGAGCCAGCTCGAAAGTCCATCCTGTAAATCTTTCGATCGCAAAGCAGTGAAACTTCTGCTGTGCTGGAGGGCTAGGAAGTTTCTGGTCCGGTAATGTTGTCCAACCTGAACGACTGATAGAAATGGCTGGCAATGGATGACCAAGTAGCTAGGAGGAGAGCGTATAAATGCTCACCAACGTACAACCCGCAAAGCACAACATGAGCTTGGACAGAGCCAGTGACCGTCGGACAGGCCGGCCGGATCTACAAAGTGCTGTGGCAGCATGCCGAACCGAAATGCCAAGCGATTTCCCAGGTGATGGACAAGCAAGTTGGTGCAGAGCGCATGGAGGAAACGGCATGTCAGTCGCAAGCTTCAGACTAGCAACATCCAAGCCTGATGGCCGCGGAGCCTGAACAACACCAAACCTTGCAATCCGGCCAGGCTCAACGAAGCCTTGGCAACGGAAGGGAAAGGACCCAAGAGCCGCACCTTGATTTAAAGGTTGGTGTTGGCATCCATCAAGAGCCTCCGTCACACCGGCAGAACTGTCAATGATCGCAGTGGAGCCTCTGCCCTCCACCTGCCTCAGCAAGCTGGATCGCCCCAGCATCGCCGACACCCTGGTGAACTCACAGCTTGACATGGAAAGGGTGCCGCAACTTCGGCATTTGCCTGGCCGGGGCCAGTCTGAAATAAGGAGACAATCCGCTCTCCTCGCCTGACCTGCTCACGATGCTGGCCACCGGTCACGATCGACAATGCATCGGCCACGACAAGCGCGGATGAGCGCGCCTTGTTCAAGGCGCGGTCCAGGTCCAGGGCTGCTGAACCCCACACGGCCGCTTCATCCTCGTAAATGCTTCGACCGGATTCGACCGGGAATATGCGTCACGCGATGCTGCATGTGCCACGACACTTTAGTTAAGAAGTGTCACATGCTGCTGGCCAGTACACATCGATGTCACAAAGCTCGGCCCACTCGTGCATGCCCGTCAAGAGCAGTGCTGCCTGCTTGTTTTGACACGAGACTTTTGCTGTTGCGCCTGTACAGAGTGGCACCAAATTCTCGCGAATTTTGAAGCGGGGCTCACACCTGCTGCTCGTAGAGGCGTTGTTCACCTACAGGGAAGGTAAAAGGCGGCAAATGAGCATGGAAGCTGCGCCGGGAAAGACAACGAAACTCATGCCGCTCAGAAACTCCATTCCGTTCTTGCTCACCATCTGTTCAGATGGTCTACATTGTCTCTGAAGATCTCTGAAGTGTTCGGCTTGTGCTGACCATTGATTCACCTAGGGCAACATTACCGCAGGTCCAGCCATGTTTCTCGTCCAGGACTCAGGACGAGGCCTTGCCTAGATAAACTCGGGTCATTCTCGAGCTGTGTCGTTGCGGCAAGAATTAACTTGAAAGCGCTTGACTCTTTGGTCTTAGGGCTCACAGGAGAGTAGGGATACGTGCAGTGCAAATCTGCGACGACAGTGGAAACCGCGGCAGCACAAACGCAACTGTCGTGATATAACAAGTCAGAATGACTGTAAGGATTATCAATTATCAAAAGAAGCGGGTAACAAATTGGACACACACACCTACATAGATAACATGCCTATGCTATGCAGCGTAGCCATTTCGGCGGCGCCAGGACTATTGACTTATTGATCTTCCTGTGATCAAGAACTAGCAGGGTAGGGGTAGTTTCGATCATCTCTGTACAAGTTATGTTTACAGCAAAGGGAAAGGAGATGAGCAGTGTTTTCGGGTGGCCTTTCGAAGATCTGCGTGCCAGTTTCGACACGCTCTGGGCTCTGGTTCGCAAATGTCCAATATCCGATCGACACCTGTAGTAGAATCTTAGTAATTAGAAGCGGTCTGAAGCTTTCTAAATCTAAAGCCCAGGCCATCCAGGCCTGATTGAGCAAGCTTGTCGTCAACGTCGCGGCCACGACCCCTCCCTTCCGCACGTCGCTGCTGGTTGATACCAGCCTTCCCACAGCTGCTATCAAAGCCACCCAATGCTCTCTCCTCTGAAACTTTTTTGTGTCTGCCTGTCGCAGGCGACGGCGTGTTCGCTCGAGCTCCTGACATTCTCGTTTGAAATAACGGAGTTGGTAGTCGTACGTCGTTTTTGTTTGCACCGACGTTTGAATCCGATCAGTTCAGTTTAGCATTCTCGGCCACCGTGAGGAACACTCACGAATTTGGCTACGCAAATCTTTCAGTGACCTTACTGTAACTGCTTCAGATGTCCTCCCAGAAGACCTTCTGTAGTGTGGCACCATGACTCCTGGGGTCAGGATCCACGGTGCCCCCTGCCTGGCGAATGCATCGCGCTGTCACAAAAACGATGGATATCGATGGTTGTGGCCCGGATTCCTGCTCATGCTCTGCTCGAGCGGCGCAAGCATCCTCAGTCTTCTGGGGCACGGACTTTTGAAAACTCACAAAAGATTCGCGGACGAAACTCGGTGCCTTGCACGAAAGGGCAAGCATTGCTGCAGGCCATCGCGGAGGCGTGTCTCAGGACAGCGGCCCAGAAGTTGGGTCAGACGGGAGCAATCCAACCTCAACCGTCTCAGGTCTGCTGATATCTGCTGACTGTGAGTTCGTGGGAGTGGCTGAGACAGTCGCTGGGTATCTCGTGGGAGGGATGTCCCAGGTGGACTGCGTACGGCAGAGATTCCAGACGCATCCAACCCGGCGACCTTTGCCACGATCAGCATCATCTCCTGTGGGAACCAAGGAACGAATTCTTCCGTGGCACGTGGCCCAAGCGCAAGCACTATCACAGCAGCAGCAGCAGCAAAATTGCAGTTCACACCAGCAGCACCAATATTGACCAGCAACAGCAAGGTTGGTGTTTGAGTAAAAAAGGCGCAATCGGCATGTTTGAAACTTTCATGTTCACTTGAAGCACCAGCCCCTGCGCAAGGATGACACACGAAACGTGACTGAGGTTAACCATAAACTATGCCAACGTTCGTCGTTGGCTCCAGCCTCGAGAGATGCACAAAGTGCGTTGTGGTTAAGGGTTCGTTTCTGGGTTTGGGCTTTGGTTTTCCCGTCCCTGTACCCTAGCCCACCTCCTTTCTGGACACCCTAGTCTCGAGCAAAGCTCAGGGTGTGAAGCGTTCGTTGATTCAGGGGCTCAGGGCCAAAAGGTGGTCTACTATGTTTGAGGTGCCAGGTGAAAGATGGCGGGGGATACGAATGAGCTAGGAAGGGTCTTGATGAACTATGTTCCCCTTCAGATGATCCGTTCTCCTACCCCGTCCCAGTTTAGCATAATCACAGAAGGCAGCCCAGAACAACAACATCAGGTTATCAGCCCAAGTGCTCCAAGCAACACCACACTAGCGCAGCTGCATCGGCATTCCTCACTTCCTGTCACTGGCCAGGGCATGCAAGCTGGGGATGTTGATATGTCTGTATCGGGCGCAAAATTCCTAGTCCGTCAGATGAACGAGATTAGATCTGCGAATGGTGATGTGGTCCGAATGATGAGACAGCTAGAGGGAAATCACTGGGAGATCATGAACCATTGCTATGACAGGCATGGATCAAATGCAACAAAACCTTGAAGGTCTTCGTCATCAGATAGAGCGTCGCACAAATCTGCTAGGCGCTGGTTTGACGAAGATTGTTGCAGGATTACAGCAGCTGCGTGAAGCAGAGATGCAGAGTCGCCGTGAGATCGGCGAAGCCTGCGATGCATTGAATACGTGAGCTTCGTGATCGTGTAGCCACATTGGAAGCTCAGAAGCTTCTTGAAGGATTGTCAGGTTAAGTCTGGCAAACCTTCATTGTGCATTCACGATTTGCAAAAGCAGGAGAAAGATGAATGAAAGAGCCGGCGATGAGAAGAGAGGCACTTCTACACAATTGGCAGTCATTCTTGAACGTGCGCTTTGAGGTTGAAAAAGCTTGTAAGCAACTTCGAGAGCGTGAAGCGGAGATCCAGGGTCACTTGAGTCACGTGTTGCCACAAGCTTCAGCTTCAACAGACATGCCATTCAAGCAACAGGAGGAGAGTGCTCCATCAGCAAGCGTGGGAAGGCCACGGATTTTTGAGATAGGAAGTGGGACGCCGTTTTTTAGAACATAATGATGAGAATTGGTGCGAGAATGCTCCCCCGGGTCTATCGACGTGGACAGGCCAAGGTTGGGGCGACCGTTCCGATGCAGGAGTTTCGCAAACCGGGTTTAGGATCTGATGGCTTAGGATTCCGGTTGGATGATCGCGACTTACAGGTTGCAGGAGGTCAGTGGAAACTTATGAAGCAATTCCCTACTCGAGTCTAAGGGGCAAGCTGTTTCAGTTTTCGCAATATGCTACAGAGATGGTACTGTATCAGTGGCATCCTGCATTGGAGCGGGTTTCGGGAAGTTCGTGAGACGTCAGATCGATTTGGCATTGGATCGCTTCCAAAAGCCAAAAGCGCATGGACCTCGGAATTCATGATCCTGAGGTTCCTCCCATTGCTAATGGTTGCGCTGAGTTTGAAAGCAGGCTAGCTGTAACTTTGCTTTTTTCAGACGAGTGGTGACATCAAGCCGGGTGAAGTGATTCCCTCATTGACGAATTTGGAAGCGATTTTCTTGAGCACCATCAGCCCGAAATTGAGGAGAAATCAAGCTTGACATCATTATTCAGGAATCTTCCTCAGGCGAACGCATTCACTGAGTGTTTGGCAACGCTGAAACGTTGAAGCTGGCTACGTCTTGAATAACCATCCTTGGATTGCCTAGCCATCCTCCGCATGAAGCCATATCTTCCTTGAACAGTCTGGCGAAAGCACTGGAGAAGAAAAGTCCCACCTTGAATACGCGCCTGAGTCTGCTCCGTCTTCGCCTTGAGATCTTGGATCCCACTGAGGAGGGAGTGAGTGTCTGACAAACGGCGGAAGCGCGGCGACTTGCCATCACATCCGAAAGGGTATGAGACGGGGACTGGGGAGTACGACATCACAGCAGGGTAAGGGAAAAGGAAAAACGGGAAAGACAAAGGAGATACGATGTCGATTCCATGTGCATTCTTTAACACAGAGCGGGGATGCTCGAAAGGAAAGGATTGCGAGTATTTGCAGGGGATCCCAAGGGAGCAAAGGCAGCAGCCAAAGAGGCTGAGGCAAAGGCTAAAGCGAAAGCTGAGGCCAAGGAGGCAAAAGCGACAGCAAAGGAGGCAGCGGCTAGGGATAAGCCAGAGGCCAAGGCAAAACCTAAGCCGAAGGCTGCAGAACTTGCCGCGAAGGTCTGAATGATAAGAGGAATCATGCTAGGGCACAAGCGATAGGCCACCGCCGGCCACACAGGAAGCTTTCTGCGAAAGACATTGGGAATGGAGTGATCTCGATTGACTTGAGCGGTCCGCATAAAAAGCAGTCACGTGTAGGAAATCGCTACGCATTCGTTGCATGTGCACACATCGCTGAAGGTCTTGATCTGCCTTTTGTCCGATGGATTCGGACTAAGCAAGCGGCAGTGAGACGGATGAAATTTACCAAAACTTGCTGCTGCAGGAGGAGCTGCAACGTCGTGGGTCGGCTGAAGTTGTGCCAAACTCTGTCTTGACTGGAGAACATGCTGATAGCTGGGTTGCGGCAGTCAAGAAAGAGCTGGAGAAACAAAGACGCTTTCCGCGCGTGGGTCATGAACATGAGGACTTACCAACTTAGTCCGGATGAACTTTAACAGGTGACGCAAACCGCGCAGAGGGAGCCAAAAGGCACGGGGGGGAGCTTGCGGAATTGTCAGAACAACGAGTTTGCCCAGGAAGAGCTTGCCACAGAGAATGTGCCATCTTGGATTGTCCGTGCAATGTAATATAAGCTTGCTCAGGAACCCCCTTGGATAGCAGGCGCAGCGGACGTCTCAACGGCATTCCTCAACACAGTGTTGCGAGGAAGAGAAGCAACACTTTTGGATCCACCGGGTATCATGAAACGCTTGAGGCTTGTACCGCACGGGGTTAAGTACCTTCCATTGAAAGCGCTTTATGGATTGCGACTCGCCCAAAGACTGGGCGAAGGACCTGGATTCCACCGTGCAGGCGGAAGACAGAACGTGTGTTTTTGCGAGCCCAGGCTGGAAGCACAAAATGCAAGTCGATGTGATGATAAATCAACGCGCCTGGATTCTTCAGGAGCTTCATCGACGACAGTGGTTACATGATGTTACATGTGAAAGGGTGTGCAAGCTTACCGCAACTTGAACTTGAAGACGATGAAGTCAAGGACGAGGCTTATAAGCGGAACAACCTGGAATGCCAGCGTGAGCTAGGAACTTTGTTTGGATGGGCACAAGGTCCAGGCCAGACATTGCAAGCACGGTTAGGAATCTGGCATCGGAGTTAACTCATAGGCCGAAGAGGGTCTTGCAGTTATTTCGTCACGTGTGGCATTATATTCGTGGAACATTGGATGTTTGACTCACGTACAAGGCGCAGCAGAACCTACATGAGTTCACATGTTATTCTGATGCTTCGTTCGCACCAACGGCTGGATGATCGAGGTCTGGAATGGTCTACATGAAAGGGTCTAGGATTCTTGATTGGGCATCCAGCAAACAGACGCTTACGGCGTGGTCGGCAACAGAAGCGGAGACGGTTGCCAGGTAAGAGTGTTTGAGCATGAGTGGTCGCATGCAAGAGGCGATGAACCAGTTGGTTGGCACATGTCGATAACTCAGATGCGATTACCTTGGCCCTCAAGGAAACCTTTCAACCTTTGAAGTAAAAGACGCGGGGCGGTAGCACTTCGAGCAAGCTGGTTACGGGATTCCATTGTGAATCTTGAGGCTGGGGTTGAACATGAGCCGGGAGAACCCTTGATGGCAGACTTGCTGACGCAAACGCCCGCGCGGGTTCGGCTGCAAACTCTTCGCGGGAAGGCTGGACTTCTTGAACGAATGCGACGCACTGCTCATTGCTTATGGGTGCAATGTGTGCGCTTGAGCCTCACTGGTGATCTTTGTCCTGCATAAACGCTTTGGGACACGGGTGATAATCCCTGAATTTGCGGAAGGAATAGTCCGGCAGATACGTGCATGAGCGCTGTTGGGTAGCTGATTGGTGCCTGCCTGGAACGTTTGAAACTCCCGGCAAGGAGGAGTGTTTGTGTAGAAAGGGCACGAATTGCATCTTTGAAGCTCGCACGTTCACTTGAAGCATCAGCCCCTGCGCCAGGATGACACGCGAAGCGTGACTGACGTTAGCCATAAACTATGCCAACGTTCGTTGTTGGCTCAAGCCTCGAGAGATTCACAAAGTGCGTTGTGGTTCAGGGTTCGTTTCTGGGTTTGGGTTTTGGTTTTCCCCTCCCGGCACCCTAGTCCACCCCTTTTCCGGGTACCCTGGTCTCGAACCCAGTTCAGGGTGTGAAGCGTTCGTTGGTTCAGGGGCTCAGGGCCAAAAGGTGGTCTATGTTTAAGGTGCCAGGTGAAAGATGGCGGGGGATACGAATGAGCTAGGAAGGGTCTTGATGAACGATGTTCCTCTTCAGACGATCCGTTCTCCTACCCCGTCCCACTTTAGCATAATCACAGAAGGCAGTCCAGAATAACAACCTCAGTTGCTTTGGTTTCTCAACGTAGCAAAGCTTAAAACGGACGGGCCTTAGGTGCCGCAACACCCCACAGAACCTACCAAGGCATGCAACATCGCGAAACTGCAAAGTTTCTACATTGATTTGCGCGAGAATGCGAGAACGGTGCTCGATACCCTCAACTACAGCTTTCAGAGTGACACATAGTCACACCAGCAAACCACCACCCCGGAAAGCTAGGCCGGCTCCGAAGACATGAGGGCACAGCCGCACGAAATGGAAAGCAACGAGATATCAACTTAGCTCGAGGCGTACCATGTGAATCGCTCGCTGCCTGGCAGGTGTGCTAGGCGCTTCAGGAGTTCGGTTGTGGCGGGCCAAAGCCAAGGCTTATGCTGCAGCTGAGCAACTTTGAAAGTGATAGATGCCCTTCAAGCACTCTCCGGCCAAGTGCATCTCGACCATGCTCTTCAGAATAATGGCAACATCGCCGGTCCAAGTAGGATAGCACTGTTGCCAAGCATCCACTTCGCCTAAGCACACGCGTCGGCGTCCGAGGCTCCGAGAGGTCGTCTTGATCCGGCGATCGCGCATGCTGCCAGGCGGCGAATGCCGCTCGAGAGATCGGAGCATAAACTCGTCACTGCCTGGAGCCAAGCACGGAGCCGGGTGGCTGTGCTCTGCACACGTCCGTTGCGCACATCCTTGCTGTTTCTTGCAGACTTGGAGCCGATTCCGAGAGCGACTCTGCAAGCGGTCCGTAGAGAAGCGGGACCCGGAGCACCGCTGCTTCCGGACAGGCTGCTTGCGCAAGCTGCTCGCTGTGGAGCTTGTGCCAACCTCTCCGTGTACCCCACTTGCACATATTTGCACATGCTACAGCCAGTCCGCATGAAAATTGTGCGACAAACCTTGGCTCATTTACCAAGCATGCGACCATACTCGCTCAGTGGATTGGGCTTGGAATTGGTCGTGTACGGAGGTGAGGTGCCATCGAAGACACAGTCCGCACTGACATGCACCTTGTTTCAGGTCGGAGTCAACACACTAATGTGCCTTTGCATTCACAAATGTGCAAGCTCTATGAGTGCGTGCTTGTCCGACTCGTTCGAACTTCAGAGCTCCTTCACAGTCCGATTACCAAGCCAGCACCAAAGGCAACTGATGCGCCCTGCATGCGCTACGGGCAGGCCACCGGGTGTTGCTGCTCTTCGTTAACGTGTGGCCTGGGAAATCTTCTTTCGGAGAGAGCCCTAGTTCGACTAGCTTCTGGAACGGGGGAATAGTGCAAAGTGCCCGAAAGGAAATCACATCTGACACAGATATGTAGGGAGTTGCCTGCCGAAGCGATCAGCTATGCGAAGCAATCCAAGAGCAAAGGAGTTCATATCACGAGCTTATGATCAACAGTACCCCATCCCGCACAAGGGGGAGAAACAGACGAGCGAAAAGAAGCCAACGAAAAACACGCAAGCGCTCCATCCGACAGCATGGGAGTTCACATAACACGAGGATTCAATCATCCGATGCAAAGAAGGGAGCGACGTGAAGCCGAATGTATCTCCGAGCTAGGAAGCTCGCATCCAACCGGGAAGAGTTGCACATCCGACAAGGGAACATGGGGGAACCCTGCGAAGCATCCGAAGGAGGAACCTGGGCGAAGAAGTGCCGCATCAACAACGGAAACGGCTGAAGTGCCAAGGCACAAGCCAAGCACCAAGGCGCTCGCATGCCGTGGCAATGAAGCCTACGAGCACTATTTTGGTCGCGGATTCCACAAGACCATGTATAAAACGCAAGATAACCCAAGCGCCCCGTGCCTGTGGCATCCACATTCAGCTGCCTCGCCTGCTCCGGACGCTGACGAAGCACTTCGGGACGCCATTCGGCTGCCAAGTGAAGGACGACATGTGGTCGAAAATGATCCATAAGCTGGGCAACTGCCTGAGGCACCAGAAAAAAAGGCGGGTGAAGATGGAGCACATCATTCTGAGTCTTTGGCGGCTTCTTTGGTTAGATCCTCAGTGCTCAGAAAGCCACCCAACTTTTCCCAGTGGATGGACACGGCTTCACCATAGTAGACTAGAGCCAGAGCTGCAATCTTTCCCATCCACGCTGCGCCCACCCTGCTGACTGACTGCGGATGAGATTCACAAGCGGCAACGTTGGGAACGTTTGCTCGGCGTTTGCAAATGCCCTGCACCTGCCGAGCAGGGTGTGCATCGCATGTTCCATCATGTTCCAGTTCCTACAGACGGAGATAGATGGAGCGATGTGAACTCATCATGGGTCAGCCTGCCAGGTGCTGAAAGCCTTCATGACCTGCCGTCCCAGTAGGCCACTCGCGCCGGTAATGAGAATCCTTGCGCTGGACATCTTCGACCTTGGAGGCGGCTGCACCGCAGCCACTTTTCGAGTCTTTGCATGTCCCGCCTCATGCTTTGAGGTATCGTGGCAGGCCCTGTGAGACCTGGCTGCGGCTGCAAGGGGCCTGCAGTCAGCGGCAAGACTTTTTCAAGAGGGAGTCCGTCTCTGAGAAAGCTGCCTCCAAACTCAGGCTTGCTGCGTGACGCGCTGCGAGTAGCCCTTGCGACACGGCCATCTTGCACTGAATTCCTTGGGTGGTAAGCGCTCATGGTGTCTCCGGCGCATGTCAATAGACAATTAATTCAATTAATGCCTGCATGAATTCTGTGCAACACAATCGCCGCACACTCGTCTCCTGAACGCAAGTCAGGTTGCAGGTCTGGCGCTGCTTGCTCACCTCAAGTTGCGGAAGCTTCACATACCGCTTGTCTGACTGGCTGCGCCTGTCGATGCCAGCACTGAATTTGCTCAGGTTCAGGCAGCTCCGTCCACTGAACTGATCGTGTTCCACCTGTCGTGCGAGCCATCTGAAGCGAGTTGATGGAGTCTGGAACCGGAGCATTCACCCCATCAAGCTCTGATGAGAAATTGTTGGGGGAAATTTCAAGCAAGTGTTACGGCCTTAACCGAATTTAACCGACAATTCCCAGACTGCACGAAATCTGTTGCACTCGGCGCTTTCAGGGAACAACACCCGGCAGCCGCCTGTGTCTGAGATGATTGGAGCTTCCTGGCTTCTGTCGGGACCCTTTTCTCTAGTGTAGCTTCGCAGAAGGACTCTACCACACAACGCGGTATGCTCATGCTGCCAGGAAGCCCCACAAGCTTCTGAGGATCCTTGTCCGTCTCCCTTGGCATGCTGCCTTGCTGGGGCTGTAGTTCTTGTAAGGCGCTGTGCTTTTGCGGCTCTTGCTGCCAAGTGGAGGGATGCTCATCCACAGAGGCAAAAGTGCTGCGAGTGCAAGGAGCGCAAGGCTGGAACTTCGACGTGAACACCGGCTCTGATCCTCGCTGAGGTGGCAGGTGTTGTTGCCCATCAGGTTGCAAGCATGCAGATGCATTTGTGCCAGGAGCACTCTGCCAGGAGAAAGAGTGGCAGCGAGGTGGCACATGAGAAAAGACAGAGTGCGAGCATGAAGGTGGCGGGGGCGCCGTGGTGGGTGCAGGCGCTGGTGCACCGAAAACTGCGCCACTTGGCCGCAAGAATGCAGACTCTCGGCGAACGTTCGTCCCAACACTCTGTGATCGACACGCAGACTTGGCCGTCATGCATGGCCATGCAAAAGATGGTGCAGCTGGCACCGCTGGGATGAATGCCATTGGATCATTTCCAAAGCAGGTGCGGCACTCGCTGGGGACATTTGCAGCGAAGTCCATGGTAAACATGCTATTCTCAGCAGGCCCGAGGCGGTGCCTGCGAGCAAACATGTCCAGCCCAAATGGTGCATCAATACACCCCAGGCCCAAAAGGGCAGGCGCTTGCAAAACAGATTGAGGAGGCACCGCTGCCTCGCTGAGAACCTGCGTGCCACCGTGCCTCTGACGATCCAATCTTCGCGAAATCAGCACCGGTCGTCCCACTGACCCTGCACGCTTCCGTGCTGCCAGCACTGTGTTGCCGTTGCTGTCATTCTCCTGCTCGTCGTCGCTTGTCCCACTGCGAATGTAGCGGTAGCGCGGTGGAGTCTCCGGGCGAGTGCCAGTCATGCCATCTGCGAGCTTGCCCAATCATGACGCTGCTGTGCAGGACCGGATTTCTGGTTCTATGCTGATATCGAGCCCGAGGCTGTAGAAAATTAAGGGTATGGCAGCTAATGTCAAACTGCAGACTCAAAACATGATTGTACTCGCTGCGTCCCGCAGCTTTTAGGCGCATAATTCTCACCTGAGTTGGCTTGAGACAACACGACATCGAGCCAATGGCTGGCGGAAGGGGAAGGACTGCGTCACTTCAACGCTTTCCGTTTGGTCTCTTGGCTCGAACGGAAGCAGCTCCTCCGTCCCTCCCCGGCGCGACATTCAGCTTAGACTCGCATCATGCATGTGGAGGCGGCCTGGTATAAAGATGCATGAGCTACTAGTATCAAGCAACACCATGAACGAACTAGATAAACTCATTCCCTGGGGGCAGACTGCATGATGTGAGCTTCGGGTTCCAAAATTGCACTGCAGCATCGCTGAGCAGGGCGGTTGTCTGCTTGCTTCGAAAGGCCAAGCCCACTGCCGTAGCTTACATTGGCTATACCTGCAGCTTGAGCATGGCGGTGGGGCAAGGATCCTGTTCTTGTTCCAGCAGATGCAGAGGGAACGTACTCAAGGATGGCAGTTCACCTTCTTGGCCTTCATGAGGTTGACCACGAGCTGTGGAGTGCCATACCTCCGTGAGCACAGCCTCCTTAATCTTTGTTATGCTACACCCCGCTTGTTTTTATGCTAGCCCCGTGCACAGCATAAAATTGAAAACCCTCAGCACAAAACCGAATACCAAGTCCAAAGTTTTTCGTTGCACTAGGACACAGCTGTCACGAAGCGAAGCAAGCGCAACCAGTCCCGAACCTCTCAAGCAAGTCAGCAAAGTGTCGGCGTGTAGCAGACAGCGTCGGGTCACAGCGCGGATACACGACCTCTGCGACTTGAACTTAACTTGTTAAACTTTCAGGACCGAGGGTGAAGAAATTGTGTTTCCGTGTCCGTCGCTGAATGGACGAAGGACAGCATGATCAGAAGTCTGTGAACAGCCTGTGATACAGCTCCAGAACTGGCTGCCGGGGCATTGGGAGAGCCATAGAGCCTGTCCTTACATGGTCTCGGGACGAAGTCCTCTAGTGCCGCCCGACCATGTGGTGTGCATCTCACTTTTCAATAGCCCAAACGCCTAGACCACCAGACGACTTTCAAGCACAGAACACACGAAGATAATCACGGTAGGATGAAATTCAGAGCTGTGAAGGGCCGCAATTCAACCAACAGGAGGGCGTGCTCAGAACGCGACGGCTCGACTCTGACGAGCGACGAAAGGAAGAGCAGGGAGTGTAGATCGTTTTTCTGACTCAACACTGCCCATCTGGCCAGGGTTAACACGAACGGCAAGCTCAAGACCCTGAGAACCACACCGGTGGCTTTGGATTGATGGCGGTCGCTTCTTGTGACCAGAACAGCGGCACGCTACCACGGATCTGCAAAGGCGTGGGAAAGTGGACAAGTTCTACCAATTCAGACGTGAGCCAACTGCGGCCTGGACGAAGCTCATCACGTGGCCAGTTGACAAATGGCGCAAAGAGTCGTCGCACAGCAGCTGCTCGGTTTCCACATCGTTCCCAACCTGCATCTCATCTCAGCTCGAACCGAACCTTTCGAATACACCTACATGGCTGCCTGCCTGGCCATCCACGTTGAGCCCGCGCTTTCGATAGCCTGCTTTCGCGTCTTATGCTTCGCAACGACTTCTCGTCTTTCACATCACATCGACTTCAAGCAGCTCTTCTTCTGCCTGAACTGTTTTGTCTGTGCATGGATGGGTGAACATGCCGATTGACAACTAGGCTAAATCGGATGAACATGTAGTGGTCAATGCAACGCGTCGCTGCAAAGGTCTGCGCTGTCACACCATGGTGTGCGGAGGTGTGCGGCCGTGCCCAAGCGAGGCAGCAGCGCGGGTTCCTGCATAGAATCGCGAGCGCCTCCGCTTTTGTATGCGTACGAGTCACGAAGGGTCCGATTATCTAAGGAGTTGCCATGCGCTGCCTGGCAATCAGTGCAACCTCAAAGGTCCAGCCGAAAGAAGAGCACTTCGTATGCCTCATGCCGGCTCTGCCTTTCTGTCCTCTGTTCTCTGGAATAAGGGAATGAGCTCAGCCCAGCACGCGAAGAAGCCGTGGATTATCGAAAGGCACCAGTGCTGCCAGCCTTCGTTCGCGAAGAAAGGCGTCATGTGGTAGTGGTTCCACCTCCACATGAGCCCACAGCTCCCATGAGCAGGAACGGCTGCAATAGTCTCGGCTCCGCGCACGAATCTGTGGTGCTTTGAAGCATCCTTGCAGTGCACTGCAGACGGGGGAATGGTACTACATGACTGCATTACTGTCCTGCTGCCTTGCCATGCCACACGGCTGACAGCGAAACACATCTACAAGCTGTGGTCCTTTTCCACATAGAGTGGTCTGAGCTGCCCTGGAACGTACGAGACAGCAGCTAGGCACAGGCTGCGACTACGACATCCCCATCCAAACCGGCCGGTGCAGTGCTCGCCGGGCCTCGTGCAGCACATTTGGCATCTGCCAGATTCTGCTGAACAGTGCGGCTGAGCTCGTAAGAATAGGAGAAGTAGAAATCCTGCACAAGCTTGCCAGTCCGCCGTGCGTTGCACGGAGCCACGCACTTCCAAGTGATACCGCCAAAGTGCAGAGTCACGTAATCTTATACAAGGTGCAAGTGAACTGCAAACGAACGGATTTACGCTTGCAACCAACTCGTGACAACTCAAAGAAGAGAAGGTGTGAGGATTGGGACGAGCTCGGTCATCTCCCTGCCCGTAGGTAAGTTTGCGCAGCTAGTCCGTTGTTATGCTCGTTGTCAAACTCCTGTCTGGCTTCGGTTTCCGTTTTGGAGCGGTTTGCTCAGTGAAATTAAGCTGTTGTTCGTTGAGGGTGGTCGAATTCCCTTGAGAATCGAGGGTTCCCCTGCCTGAGTCCGAAGTATTGCACCATTTTGATGGCTGTAACATCGGTGCGGCTCGAAAAACTGTCTGTTGTGGGTCAAGGCACCCTAGAAAGAATGGTTGCAGCCCGAGCAGGTCGAGCGGAATTCAGTTTCAAAGGTTAGGTGCTCTGCGAGGTCGGGTCCTGTTGGTGGGGGCCAAAAGCGAAGACGAACAAACGGGGACAAAAAGAGAGAAAGATGGAAAAAGCAGATAGCGAGGGAAATCGGGTAAAGAACAAGCGAGATACTGAGAACCAGAGCAAAGAGTCGGGAGAGCGCAGGAGGCAGAGACAAAAAGGGAGTGAAGCAGAAAGTGGAACCTCAAAAAGCACACAAGCAGAAGCTTTGCTGCAGGTCCCTACATGGAGTAAATACTCAAGAAAAAGTGTTGGACTCCACGGGACTGCTTTGAGAGCACACGGGCAACAGCCCGGCGTGCTGGCGACCGTAAACTGTACAGCCTGTACAACTCTAAACTCTGCAGAGGTCCTTACACTCCCTTCCGGGGCCCCTCTGTTTAACCTTGGCAGTGTTTTGAACAGCACCAAAGTGGAAGCACTTCGCTCTGAATTCTGGAAAAGGCTTGCCGCATCCTGCCCGATGCTGCAGTCAGCAGGGCAAGCAGCGAGGGTGATGAAGATCATCACAACTGCTACTTGATACTTCGCCGTGGTGCCAGTAGCGACGTATCCAGATCGTCGAGATTGGGCGCAGGCCCTTGCTGTGCATTGATACTGGTCCGCGCTCGCGATCGTGAGAGTGAAGCTATAGCAGTGAGGTCATCGGAGCCGAGGACTGACTGCCTCGCCCTTGACTTGCTCTCCTGACATGCTCTCGAAAAGCCCCCCAGTTGTAAGCATCGACAAAGTCATTCTGGCAAACCCGTCAGCACCTTCCCCAACCTACTGCACGGGAATTGAACTGTGGCTTATGCCTAAACACCGAACAGCATCCTCGCCAGCGACATGCTGCGAGGCCTATATTTCTCAAAAGACTTCCCCATCAATCGCTCTGGCGCAGAGCACCAAACAAATGGAAGCAATTCAAGATGTCAGAGCACAGGCCTGGCTGTTGCTGGCCGAGGGCATCACAGGGCCCTTTGGGCCCTCCTGCAGACGGAACATGACCAGATACAATACACGCAGCCCGTGCACGAGACAGTCTTCGTCGCATTCCCTGCCCGGCTCCTCGCCAAGATTGTCAAATCCCTCTGCTTGCTTGACCAGATCCGGGAAAAGGAACTCGGGGATGCTTTTGGAATATTTAGCAGCCGTGGAGGTCAGGGCTTGTAAGAAAATCACGAACTCTTCGAAGTCCACGCAGTTGTGCTCGTCCCTTAAGGTTCAAGCGACATGTAGTAACGTAGTAGAAACATCTGAACCTCGATAAACCATGGCTGGTGCGGTCTGGTCGCTTGTCCAATCGGTTCCAATAGAACGTCATCCGCTCAGGAGCAAGTTTTGATCGTTCCTTTGGTGGAAGGAACCTCGCGACCACAGAACATGGCAAGCTGGTCCTCTGACATCATCCTATATGCATGAATGACACTCAAGCAGCCAGTGACTGAAATCCTTCTTGGTCCAAAGACCTGCCAAACAATACGTTATGGTAAGCAGTGACGAAGATGCAAACGTCAGAGATCACCACAAACAGAGCCGGGCCGCGTTGCCTGTCTTCCTGTTCTCCGCTGTGTCGAAGTGCTGGTGGGCTTTCTGTATGAAAGCTGGCTCAATGTTGTACTTCGTTGCCAACCTCAAGGTCACTCCGGGGAACCCTACAAAAAGCCTCTTCTTGATACGGCACAGACCCTAGTTTGGACAACCACCCACACAAGTCTTGGAGAAACCGAAGCTCACTCAAGTACACCCACGAAAGATAGCAAACATACGGACGGGAAAAGCGAAGATGCAGTCCACGAGATGCAATCAATTGAAACTTTACGTTCCGAGCTGCCGCCTATCAAATCGCTCCTCCGCTGTCAAGTTGCTCATCAGGTGTTTCTGCGCCTTTGCCCAAAAGGCTTTGCTGCGACACATGCCGCGAACAGCATGCTCACGTAATGATGTCTCGGGCAAGCAACGAAGAAGGAGTCTTCCAGAAAAGTGATCGTGTTCCGCTTGATTTGCTTCATTCGCATGTGCTCGCCTGCCCAGCGACAGGGCGCTGGCGCGTGAAGTTGCAAAACATGGCAAGACTGTGCTGTGCCATTCCGACATTTTCCGCGCATTCCTCGGAAATGCTTCCGAGCGCTAAACATCTCTGTTCACGATGGGGGCATGTCTCAAAACAATGCAGGAACCTTCCGAAGGAAAATGGCCGTCCACCATGCCGCCCGACCAACAAAAAGACAGGTCGGAGCACAATGGAACATGGACTCAAACAAGCCCTCAACATGCAACGGGCAAGGCAAGGTTACCCGTTACCCCTATGGGCAGTCTACACGGGATCACCAGTCTGAGCCCGGCCTCTCGCCGAGACCAGCAACTTTAGGGGTGCCGCAATGGCCACGCAAGCCTCTCCAACACTAAATACGAAGGTGCCACGGCAAGTTGAACGGCGGATGGCACACTGCTTATGACTGCTTCAGATGCTGTGGCTCTGGTGTCTGTGCTATTCGCCTGGGAGCCATAGTTGTCAAGGATCACGAGGCGCCACCATGGTGCAGACTCGGCATGTTCTTTCATGTCCTGGCGATATGGTGTGAGGAAGATCGGCTTGCGTTCGCATGCTACACTGATGAAGTCTAGCTACGTTGCTTTGTCAGCATCTTGGTCAAGCATGTACAATCAAGCCCAGAGCAAAACCTGTACACGAAACCTGTGGCAGTCGGGCGGGCAAAAGCGACTCCCCGATGAATGCTTGGTTTTCTAAGCTCCCATGTGTGGCTAGCGCTAGCATGTTGCACGGCCTGGGCTGTGAAAATGGCACCTCTGATCTTTGCACTACGGCAACAAAGTCTCGCAATTCACGCATCAAGGTGACTCACAACACCGAGAGAGCCGCAGGTCCTCCTTCGCCCTGTAGAAAATCGTTGAGCCCTTCTCAGCCACATTCTCTGGCACCTGCACACACTGTCATCATTCTCAGCTCAAAGGTTCACAACTGGCGATAAGCACAGCACAGTAAACGTCCACGCAGTTTGCCAGGGACCAGTCGGTGAATTTGTGGAGAACCTAACAGCTGAATTCAAACGCATATCAGTGTAGTTTCGGCACTTTCGGGATCGCATGCTGGATCGGCGCGAATTGGACACTTCGTCTTTGCTTCCGCAGTGGAACGAACCGGGACAAGAATTGCAAGCAGGAAACATCATCCTGCACCTCTTTGGCGTCACTTCCTTTCACATCGAGGTCGTGAAAGGAAGTGCAGCGGTGTGCGCTTGGGCTTACAAGGGGTGCAACACAGATGGAATGCCATTCATTCGCCTTAGTGACGACCTCCATCTGTATGGCGACAACCGGTGCCTAAGTGCACTGGGCCGTGACAAACCTTCAGTGATGGGATGTCAATGCGACGGTGCAATATGCAGTGCCCTCTGTGCTGCAATAAGCAGCTCAGAACCGGCGACAAGAAGCCTTGATTGTTGCTGAATTCCGAATCATGCGGAGCAGAATGCTGAACAGCTGCAGGGATGTCTTCCACTTCAAAGCTTAGATGCTGGTCCCTCGTCCTGAGGGCATTTTCTTTTCCACCGAGACAGCGATGGTGGTTCTTGTAAGACGGACACAAGCTGAACAGATGCTGCGCCGAAAACCGAGCTTCTGACTTTCCAATCTCACTTTGCCAGCAGCTGGACGTCCCAAGCAGATTGAATGCAGGGAAATTTCCTCGCTGAGACGACCATCCGGTCACCTGCGTGTCTGATGTGCACTTGTGCATGACGTTGCGCCTTACCAAGCCCACCTACACCAAGCTCTATACTTCTGCAAGTTTTGTGGACGCATCGCACCCTTTTAGCAGGCAGATGTGCGCGCACGCTCAACCTGTGTTGGAACGGATTTGACATGAAAGTGTCTCTAGACACCTAAAGCACAGAAGCCGGGTGTCAGGTCCAACGGGAAGTGTTAGACTTCTTCAACAGTCCACCGTTCAGCGAATGCTCTGAGAAAAGACAGCCTGGGAGAGTCTTCCTATACTAGTACAGTAGCATACAGTAGCCATCAATACCAATACAGTACCCAGGTACACATCCTGCCCGCTTCCCCCACCGATGCCCGAGTGAGAGTGTCCAACATTAATTTCTCGTCTGCGGTGTTGAAGCAGAGACGGAGCCTTGAAGGGCATCCCGGGAATTCCTTCCAACTCATCAGCCTGGCAAGGTGCGGTCCTTCAGAGCTAAAGATTACAAGAAACAATGAAGCCCAAGGCCCAAGACTCCAAGACCAAGGCCTCGTTTTCGTCGTCTGCAAACCATCTGGACTCCAACCTGACTGGATCTGACTGGTCTCGGACACGGGAGGTATCAGCAACACAAACGCCCTAAACAAAACACACCTCACATGCAGCCCAGGACCTGCCGAAGTCACCTCACACTGCCCAGGGCTCTCTCTTAACTCCCTCCTCTCTTATCCCAGCAAGTGCCACTCTCCACACTCTTATGGCCTGCATCTCCGGCAGAATTATTCTCCGCAGACTCGTTGGCAGCAACTTTTCTGCCGCCACTCGACAAAATAGCCACTCGCTTGTCAAAGGCTTGAATTCGATCTCGCACCTGTCGGGTGACCTGGGACCGCTGCTTCACGAGATCCGAAATCTTGTCCTTCTGCAACGCCAGCAAAGCACCCTTCACACTCTTCCATCCCGAGTTCGAATTCAGAGCCTTCGGCGGTGTCTCCCTCCAGGGACGCGAAACCTGCTTGTGAGTGGCTTCCCTGTCCAGTCTCGGAGTCTCCGAAAGGGTCGTTGCCGTTGCGGCAGTTGCTGCGTAGTTTGCAGCGAGATTCCTTGGAGCCGGCTTTGGAGGGACCAGAACATCCCCCTCTACGATTGGCAACGGTCCTGTGCCAGCATATAAGCGCGTAGCCGGCGGCGTTGGTGAAGGCAAAGAAACGTTAGCAGATTGAGGCCGCGGACTTCTGTGTGGTTGTGCAATGGGCGAATAATACACACTTGCCTTTACGAAAGCGGAGAAAGACTCGTGTGACATCACGCCAGAAGCTTGGATGTCGGAACTTTGCGCCAGCGCTGCCTGGCCATGGCCACATCCCTTCGATGTGCAAAGGCACGAAGCGTGGCATTTTTCTCACTCGGTTTTTAGGCTATAAATCATACGTGGTGTACCACAACTACGGCGGAACTGGTCCGTACCATGTGGCTCTTCCGTCTACTGGATGCTAAGCCTGCTGGCGCAGCACTCAGGATGATACCACAGCACAAGCCACGCGGAAGTGCAGCCCCACTCCTTGGAGAGGTTCAGGTTGTTCAGCTGGTCCTTGAAGTTCTTCTCCTCCCTAACTAACAAAACTAAAAAGTGCAGCACATAGACCAACCCTGTGCGGCTGTTACATCGTGCCTTTTGTTCGCGTCTCCGAAGAGTGGCACTAAGGCTGTCGACTCAATCGAAAGGACGTGATGATGACCTGAGGGAACATAAGAAATAGGTACATAATTGCAGGAACAATAGCTTTACTTCGCTAGGTGCTGCTGGTGCTGCTGGCTGTTCCCGGGAACATGTAGACGTAGGCTTCTCATGCCGGAAAAAGGATGTGCAGAGTGGGAGGCAGGGTGGTGTAACCTGGAGCCTTGCATGGAATTTCGGCTGGGCTGCGCTCCAGCAGCCACCACTGCCGCTCTTCCACGTCGCAGCGATTTGCATGAAGCTGTTTCGCTGACACTTCCTGTGCTAGTACTCTAACTTGTCGCTGTTCTTGCTGGTGCTGTGGCTTGCTGCTGCTGCGGAACACCGCACATGATCGGAGATGCTCAGCCTGAGCAAGGGCGTATATAGAGTTCGAAGAAAAACTCAGAAGGCAGCCGATTTTTCCAACCTGCAGCAAGAGCTGGTGCAGGCGGCGAAATCACCGGGCATGCTCTCAGACATGAAGGGAGGACGACAGTGAGCTCTCCTTCTTGTGCGTCTTGATCAATATGAGGTAGTGCCTCTGACAATCCAGCGTGTGTGCATTCATGCCAGCAGGCGGTAGCAGAGGCAGAGGCGCAGGCCCGCAAAGAAATCTGATAAATCCAACCAGCCCAGAAGCCTTTAAGGCGACCTCCAGCAGCCAAGCATGGTAAAGCACAGGCTGCCAGCAGAACACCTGTACAAAAACCGCACTGCAAACAACGTTCATCTGTGCTCTGCCTCTTCCAGTCCGTGCACGCGCCTGTGATGCAATGCCATGCATCGGCTTGAGTCTGCTTTCCATGTTCAAACTATGCAGGGTTTCCAAGGTATTCCGTATTCCCGTGTGACAGTCAAAATCACCGTGCATTTTACATGTCGGCAGTATTCTCGTCATGTCTAGGAAACTCGCCCAAATAGTGCAGCATGCTGCTCCCGGCTTCCGAATCATCAGAATTCTGGCATAGAATCCTCTTTGAACATGCACTTCTGCCTCATATCTCGAAGCCGGGCATCTAGACCTGCAAGTTCATGGCGCTCTTCTCCTGTCCACTGGCATTTGCGGGCACTCTGTGGCTCTCCCTCGCGGGCTCGGTACGGCAATTCACAGTCGCCCCTCACGACATCTCACGGCCTCCTCGAAGCTCTAGTGTCGGGTGGGAATCCTTCGAATTGTGGCACAAACAGCGGATGGTGCAATGACGACACTTCACACGCCTCCTGCTTCGGGATCTCCAGACAGCTGTACTCCTTTCGAACCTGTTCTTAAGACTCCGAAAGGAGCGCTGCAACGAAGTTGAAGTGCAAACAACTCTGCGGTGCAACGTCGACAGGGCCGGCGCATTGAGCTTGAGTCAAACCGTTAGGGCCGTTATATAGGGCCTCAAGACGTGCCTCAAGCCTCCACAGATGTCACACGCAGCAAACTGGGCTGGCTTTGGGTCCGCAGTCTGCCATGCAGCTCCGTAATCTGCGGTCGGGTGGTCCAATCACAGTAAGCCGACTCAATCTTTGTCAGACTGCAGCATAAACAGCAGCCAGCACCAAACTTCAGAAGAAGCAGAAGGAGCGTTCATTGACTCGCCTTGTGCCGCCACCCCTGCTCGAGAAGTCGCGCGTTGTGGAAGTGCATCGGCAAGTGCACGTGCGTAAGTGAGTAGCCAGGAGGATAGTTTTGTTTACCTCGTGCATCTCACAGGACATTGAAAACGTGCGAGGGCAACGTTGGGAACTGTCGTTGCTGCACTGACACCCTGCTTTATCAGGCCGTTGTCCTGGAATTTGGCTGGTCCAAGATGGTCAAGCCCGGGTCAATGTTGCGGTGATTGCGGTGCTGTACAAATAAACACTGCAGAAGAACTTTCCTTTCCCATCCACGCGCTGCATGTCTTATGTCTTAGCGCGTGCCTTGTCAATGCCGAAAACGAAAACGGCATTCCTGCTCCTGCGTGTGCAAATCCATCTGACACTTCTGTCATCTTACCTACAAATGCTCCCCAAACGAAGCCTGTACACATGGTATCGCTGGAAAGGGCACACGAAGGACGGCGGCCCGAGGACATCGCACATGGCATCTGGAAGGTGCTGCAGTTTTCAACTGGGACTATCTAAGAATCTAAGCTGCTGTCGGCTGCCTTCGCCAAAGACACGCAAAGATGTGGCTCTGGATATTGTGTTGACTCCAGGATGGGCACCTCCTCCGTACAAGCTTTATGTTAAAAGCGATGCGGATCTGCCATTGAAGGTGGCGCCAAAAAGGTTTGACGAACGAACGCCATCTGGTGCCATGACGCCAGAGAACTGCAAAACTTCTTGCTGGTATTCGCTGGTGACGCTGGCTAAAGATGCTACAGCTCCTGTTGACCGATGCTCCAGTTCCAGCCTGAGGCAAGGGGATTCCGCTGCCGAGTCGTGAATCTGTGCTCCGGCTGAGTCTTGCAATACATTCCTAAACGCGCACACATGCCTTTTGCGCGTCTTTCCAGTCAGCTCCCACCCTACTGACCGTTTCAGTTCTTTGTACACAGCTACCACAACCACCAGGATCGCTTAAAGCAGCCGGGAACTCAAGCCTGAAGCAAGTGCTGGGCTTGGCACTTGCTCAACTCAGGCAGGCGATTGGAATCTCCATCCTACACACTGTCTTGCCCGGCACAGGAGCAGCAGTGCTCGCGAGTGCAAACGCCCTGTGGCTGATCCAGTCGGCAAATAACAAGTCTAGATCCTTCTTATGGTTGTCTCTTGGTCTACCTGACAAACACGTTGCAAGCAAACTAGTGCTACTGCATCACACAGCGGCGGTCTTCTCACATCTTCTGAACATCCAGGAAGGGATCGAACACGAACGAACTGTCACGCAAAACACTTGCTCAAATCAACTCAGGATACACAGCAAAGCAAAAGCGAGTAAGCAGTGTTCAAGAAGGCTTTTCGTCCTGTCATCCAAGAACATGACGTCCACAACGAGCATCGCACCCACCATGACTGTTATGGAAAGCCAGTGGGTCCAGTACCTAGCGGCTCGTCCAAACTCATCAGCAAGCACAGTCCTCCCCGCATTGGAAGCTTCCCCGGGACAATTAGACTATGTGCACAGAGTTGTGGTCACTTCGTCGTCGTTGCGGCGACGGTGATCACGATCAGCAAAATCAGGAGGAACAAAAACCTGAACCGAGCTTCGACCGCTAGCATTGCATCAAACGAACCCGAGGCGCGCCCGCCACGCTTCATAAGCGACATGGCTTCTGCGGCTGAGACCTGCCGCAAGACAGGCGAACAGAAAACAGTGCGCTCTGCGCCCGGACGTGCCTGGCCTGGTGAATCGTTCGCACTTCCACAAGCTTCCACGAGCTTCTAAGCCCTACTCTACCTCTTGAAGAAGCGGCGAGCCCTTCATGGCTTAGGGACTTTAGAACCAATCAGTGGGCAATTTGGACCCTGCTTTTCTTGCACGATTGGACTCCAAGTTGCAGAAGTGCTGGTGCTCCCTTCAGCGAAGACATAAGGGCCATAAGCAAAGTCGTTCGGAGATGCAGTGTCTTCCTGGGGGTACTGCCAAGCCTGCTCGACGCTGTGGCACCAATCTTCGGTCCAGGGGGCTTCTTCGGGGCTCCAGTGCCAGTCTTCTTTTTGCCAATGCCAGTCTTCTTGGTGCCACAAGACATCGTCCGACCAGGTCTCGGTTGCTTCGACTTCGGCCTCTGGAGCTCCTTGAGCTCCTTGAGCTCCTTGAGCTCCTTTGCCCTTCTTGCGTTTGGGCTTTGTGCTTGGCCGATTCACCGTGATGACGTCAGGCTCACAGGCCAAGTAGAACTTGCCTATCAAGTAGTTCGCATATCCTTCTGGTCTGTTGTTCTGCGCAGACCAAGGTCCATTGGGAGGATTTGGCTTGTTGACGACTGTCCGCTTCTGCGCATAAAGCATAGTCAATCCATCTGCGGTGTAGTACTCATCAAAGAAGCTCATTTCAGGCTTCTCAACAAAAGCCGGGAAAGTTGACCAGCAAAGCTGATGCGCTGAAAACTCAACGTAAGGGCCATGATCGCCATAAACAACACGGTCATAGCCCCTTCCAATCGGCAGACAAGAGCTCGTACTGTAAAATTCTGTCCAAGCATCTCCAAACTCTGCCAGACCCAAGCTGTTCTCTACCCGTGACCTTCGAGCAAGATTATCATGCTGGCTTGGCATGCATGTCATGCGGCTGCAAGAACGCCACCGGCACATACCAAGAATGCCTTCCAAGCAGCTTGTCTCGTTGCCGATTAGGGGCAATGGCTGTAGTTGAGAAGACACGCACCCACTGCCTGTGGACTTACGCAGCACAGATGTAAGTCAAGAAGCCTTCTGTAACGCTTGTGTCCCCGAAGCTAGGCGACTGGGAGCAGGAGGCTTGCTACTGCGTCCGCTAAGTTAAAGAAGTCGCCGATGGACGGAAAGCTATGGCCCATGGCGCTTTCTTCAAAGTTGACAAATTGGTCTGCCCAGTGGGAGGCAGACGGTGCCAACAAACGATGCAAAGGTGTTCAACCGGCCCTCCATCCAGGCGTAATGCAAAGTTAACAGAAAGTTTGACAAAACCTGTT